TTACTGTTAGCATTCGCAGCAGTATCGTATGTTGCGTAACTACAGTGGTTGGAGTGTGTTAACATTCACAGCACCTATTGACTGTACAGTAGCAATCTTGCTGGAAGAGTGTTATTGGATGGATGTGGGCCTTTAATACATTGCAGATTAAGGTTTTCAGAGTAGACACTGATTTTTAAGGTAGGGAACATACGGAGCTAGAAATATGTATCATTATCGCCTGCTAAAATATTTGCATCTGATTATATTTAGCAATTTCTGGATCAAATGATTCGTGCCAGTGTGTAAATTTTTTTTGCAATACGTTAGAAATTATATGTTAGATGATGGCATTTTATTACCTACTATTGACATATAAGCTATTATGGCATCTGAATAGTTATGATAGCCTGTCAGTTTTTGTTATAGTTTTGTATCACTCAGCAATAGAGTCCATTCCGCGTCACCGAGTGGGTTGTTATTGTCATTATTTAGAAATGTTTTGAATTCTTTGTAATTGTTTGTCTAAGAAATTTCATTATTTGGAAATATTTTGAACATCTTGTCAATATTCTAAATAATTCCCTGGTTTTCTAAAACGTTTGAAATATTCCTGATGTGGAATATGACATTTCCAATAGTTTCTAAATATTTCTAACAGCACTCTACCATTTTTTACCATTATTTCGAATTATTTCTAACATTTTGTAAATAGGTCAGTGGGATGGGAAGGAAGTAATTCACACATCCCTGTGAAGTACAGGGTAGACTGCCTGGGTGTCAGGCATTGATGCCTTACAACAAAAGAGCCACCAGTGTCCAACAGTGAAATCTAAAAATATACAGAAGAATACAGAAGAGTAGGATTAGCACCTACTTTTATGGGGGCAATTACCCACATCTACCATTTTTCATTTGTTTGAAATAGTTCTAAATATTTCGAATAGTGAAAGAAACAAATGGGTAGTTCAAATTTATTCTAAATAAAGAGATCTTTGTACAGTCACTTTCAAAATGTTTCAGAAATATATAAATGAATTCAAATATATTCAAATTTTCATTTTCAAATTTTTGAAAAATTTAGAACTTTTGTTACTAGGGTATTCTTTTCTTCTAAATAATTCAAACATATTAGAAACATGGAGAAAAAACCCACTCGGTGACGCGGAATCGACTCTACAATGGTTTATGTGAGCAATTTCTGGTGATTGGATATAAGAAGGTGGCTCTAAGGACTCGTCATCCCAGGTTCTGATGTGGCTTCGCAAGAATTTTAAATGTTTTAAGTATAATTTTATTCCTGCATGTCACAAGTTCCTTATCAAGATGACATTAGGTCACAAGTGTTGTCATACTCATAGGAATCAGCATACGTGGGTCACTGAAAAAAGTAAAAATTGGTGAAATAGAAGAATAATATGCCCTAGGTGTCCAACATTTAACTCCACTGGGCATGTAGAAATGAAAATGTTATCCTCCCAATTTGGCCTGTTTGTAGTATTTTTCAGAAGCCCAAGGTGTCTGGCAGAGACTAGCTTGTGAGGGGATGATGTGATAGTCTGTTATTGTGACATCCCCCCAGGCTGGATGAACAAACATCCTTTCAAGCCCGATCTGTGTCTCGCTATTCAAACGGTATAGCCTCAGGGCCACAGCCTGTTGGGAAACAATTGCCTGGGCATATCTGTTTGCGACTCTTGGTGTATACCGGATGGCTTCTGACAGGAGAAGAGCAGGTATTGTTTGACCTTTACACGGGTGATGTGCTCTTACACAGCAGAGTTGTTTTGTTAGATTGACTGCCGTTGACCCCATTAAATTTGAGGGGAGTGGCCTTCTTCGAACTGCGGCCATCTTTCTGTTGTGGAGGATTTCCAGTATTGTGTTGCCGTAAGTGTTGCGTTACCGAGTAGAGAGGTCTGTGTATTGTATGGAGCATGTGTGGTGACCACTGTAAGTAAGGACGCCAGCTTGTGTTAGCCAACCTTGACCCAGATGGTCACCGACCGTGGGTGTGGTGCTGATGTTTTTGTATGTATAACATAGCCCAGATTTGGGATATATTCACAGCTGTTTTCTAGGCCTTCTGTTGTTTGTGGTTTCTTCCATTGTATTGGCAAGTAACAGTTTAAAGTGATATGAATAGTAGGGACTTGCGAGTCAGTTGTTAGAAATGACAACAGTTACTGTTCCATAGACTTGGTTTGTTTACTAATCTACCAGTCGTTTCTGTGATGGCTGTTTCTAAAGTAGTGGAACCAGACATTTGGCTGACTGCCACCAATCGCTCCTGGTGTCCTGTTAGTTAGTAGTAAACATGTTGGTCCTGAAGGACTTTCCTAGCTATAGGCTATAGTCAGGGCTGTTGCAAAAGTAATGTTTTGTTTTGCAACATTCGATGAAGAAAAACAACATAAAAATCGCAAATTGTGTCAACTATGGCTGTATGCAACTTCCAGGTCTTTCTGTATACTTCTGTATGTTATATATACCAACATGATCAGGCAATGACATGAAAAGTTATAAATGACATGATTGTGGTGGGGAGTTGTTACCACAAATTACACCCTGTTTGTAATCACTTCTCTCTGCTTGACTACTCGCCCAGTATGTGGGATAATCCAGGCACCCAGCAGACTTGATAAGAAGAGTTTTTTGTCTTCAGCCTGTGGAGCATATGTACAAGTAGTCCTGCCAGTATTGGGGCTTATTATCTCCTACCCAACATGCAATCAGGTATGAGAACAGTTGATGCTGTAGGACTTAGGTTAGGGGCTAACCACAAAATGCCTTGGCAGGTGGTTGAAACTTAGGGGCTAACCACAAAATGTCATGGCAGGTGGTTCAAACTCCTTGTTCAAACATCTTCTTGTATACACAGTTTAATCATAGTGGGCAGAGAATCAAAAACCCTTATACCAAGTATACTATAAATCTTCGGACACGAAGCCAAGCCATGAGATAAAGGTGTAGAAGAGAGAAAGGGATATTTTAAAACTATTCTTGACATGATTAAACTTGATGTAATTTTTAATGGACTATCCCTTGTGTAAAATCATCCAGTAGACTTCACACAGCTTACTGATATGGTGGGCAGCTAAAATGAAATGAAATGATACAGGAAGTACTTACAGTGGAATCTGTATATCTGGGGAGAAGATAGTATTATGACTTGTGACATGCTTGCTGCTTAGTTTTGTTTTGTTTGAAATGGTACATTCTATCATCGATAATAGAACCGGTAGGTCCACTATGCTAGAATGACTTTGACTAATGTAAGTAAACAATGCCTATTATCAAGTATCTGTAACCAGATACATTGTTATAGTGTCCTTGACACGAGAATACTTGGGTTGGGTATGTTATTCAATGCCACCATTTAGTGTACTTCCCTTTGTAATAAAATCTGAATGTGATAAAAGAATCCATTAAGACTAGCAGTCATGTTAAGCAGCTATTATGAAAGTTCAAAACAGTTACTAGTAATAGTAATACATGTATTGATGAGGAGAGGCATGCTAGGTACACATGTATGGCAAACCAATCATGCAACAATGTATTACATGGGTCAAGGTCTTGTTATTTTGACCCAAACAGTCTAGGCAATACGCCTTAAACTGGGACAGATGGTTGTAATTTGACCTTAGTCGTTTCTAATATGATATGTATGTGTATATTTATATATATGATATGTGTATATATTTTTGTACAATGTATGGTTTTCTTCCCAGAATGTTTAGTGCTCCTCTTGGGTGCTGTTAGAGTAACAAATGTGTGAGAGTAACGGCCAATTTGCAATATTTGTAATCCAAACCGTCTCGTGTTTTCCTTATTTTCTGTCTTGAGCTTAAGAGCCTAGCTCTTTTATTTTCACAAGGGCAGCCCAAACCCTGATGACCCATAAGTTGGATGTAAACAAAGGCCTCCAGTAAGACTGTGAGATCTAAGGAGAAGGTCTGCATGTTTATATGAAAAGAAAAGTAGTGTTCTGTGTGCGGTGTGACTGGGGTGTTTCTGGAATGTTGTCTCCATGACATAACAGTTAGGATGACTGCAGTAATGAAGGACAGGCATGGGTACTTCCTTGTGTGCTAGCCTTATACCCACAGGTGTTTAATGCAAGGAATGTCAGCAGCAGTCAAAGTTCAAGTCCAGGGATTTCCCTTTACAAGAAAATTTTCTTCTGAGCAAAAGACTTGTTGACTTCATTGTCCCAGTGTTGTCAAAACTTATCAAGTACGCTACTATGTAAACCATAATTCTCTTGCTAGGGTCTATATCAAAAATTGTACATAAGGCTGACAGGAAACTGTAGAGCAGTTTTGGGGGTTATATTGATGAGGTAAACCTGTTTATTTTATGACACAAAGAAATTTACATTTCCTATTTCCTATATCAGTATGTCTATATTATTTATGTATATTTCCTATGTGTACATATATTATTATTATTGAAAATTTGGATGTAACATAGAACTGCTGTGATGATCCCTTCAATTAGAAATCCTGAGTTCAAAGGCAGAAGGGTTGATGCAGCTGGGGTGGCCCGTCTTGGACGACAGCCAATAACAGCACATTCATTTCTCCCCTCCAGAGTCGCCCCAGGAAAGCGAGAGGAACAAAGCAGGGTCCGGGCGAGGGTTCAGGAATGCAGAGCGCCGCTACAAGCAATGGGGATGACCAAGCTGCCGCCGTAAAGATGCATTCTGATCAGGTTTCACCGCCGCGACCGGAGTATGACCCGCCCGCCAACGGTTTCGCTAATTGTGCGGAGAAACCGCCACTTTCCAGTTTGGAATTGTTGGGGGCCGACTGTGATGGGAGCGGAGAGCACGGCAACAATGATTCTGACGGAGAAAATGGCGACGGCGGCTCGGAGTCCACGCAGGACAGCGGGATTGATCAAGGCGTGTCGCCGGAGTGCCCGCTGTCGGCGGGGAACGGGGATTCTGGCGTGGAGGAACACGGGGAGGCCGTGGGGAGCGTTGAAACTGTTCAGCTGGAGGCAGGGAGAACGAGAGACGAGGGGCAGGAGGATTACAACGAGATGACGCACCACGCAGAGGCAGTCGAGCTGAACGCTGACATCATCAACAATGGCTTCCACAGCGAGGCGTATGCCGCCACCATGTCGGAATCCGGGGAAGAAGTGACGGTTTCTGCCATTGAGGCTCTTGCGGAGCAGGAGGTTTCCATGGGAGAAATTGTCGAAGGAAGCAACGGCCGGCGCGGGGCTCCACCAGCGGAAGCACCTGAAACTGATGTCGAACAAAACTTGACATCTGATGAGGTGGAAATGTTGCCAGACAGGGAAAATCCTCACACAGAGGAGGGTGCAACAGTCCTGGCAGAGAGTGAGGGCGGGCCGCCGAGCGTACCCATTCCTATTGAGACGGACACCGTTGTGGAAATTGCGAGCGAGGTGGTTCTAGAACCTTCTCCTGACGTAGACACGGGTGGGGCGCTGACAGACACTCGCTTTGGGTACAGCTCATACGCGCATAATTTTGGGGAGGATGCCGTAGTCGACAAAGTCTCTGAAGTTGCTAGTGGAGCAACAACACCAGATGATGAAAATATGTCTGTGTCTGAAAAAAGGAAAAGGGAAACCCAGGGCTCTTCGGTCGTGCAGTCCAAGGCTGCCATCGCACCACAAGCAAAAACCTCACCCGAGACAAACCCAGGTCTCAAAGTCAAACCACCAAAAGCCAACAACAGGAGCAGGAAGAAATCCGAAGGAACAAAATCAGTCTCACAGGCCAGTAGTAGATCTGCATCTAGGACGTCTGCTAGGACATCATCACGGAGACAGAACGCAGCAAAATCTGCAAAAGACGCTAAGGCTATAGAAAAAGATGCAAAGTCTGCACCTAAAGATGCAAAGTCTACTTCAAAAGACTGTAAATCTCAGGCAAAAGATCCAAAGTCTGTGTCAAAAGATCCAAAGGGTAAAGATGCAAAGATGGCATCCAAAGATGCTTCTGCATTGTCAAAAGACCTTAAGTCCAACACACCAGTATGTGAATCCAATGAGGTGAAAAGTAATGACAAGATAGAGTCTGTAACGCCAAGTAAGCAGGATAAGGACACAGCAGACCAGGAAATTAACAGTGAAACATCAAAGAGTAAGGGAAAAGGGCTGAAAGCCTCAACAGTAAAGGGAAAAGCTGGCAGACTAAGTAGCTCTCGTTCACGACCAAGGAAAGCAGTAGATTCCAGACCGCCCGTAAGCCCTTCCAAGTCAAAGGAGGAAACAAAATCTCTGTTGACAAATTCTGAAGACAGGACTTCGTCAAAACAACAGGAATCCAGGTCCCCAAAGAAAAGAAAAGACTTGTCAGTTCACAAGCCTGATGAGACCCAAACAACATCCGGCTCAGCAAGTGTAGAGTCAAACCTTAGCTCAAAGGAAAGTTCCAGTGGTGACTTGTCTCCCCCTTCCTTACAGCTTTCTGCTCCAGACAAACAGCGCAGGAAACCCAGAAAGCAAAATGTTGTTGGCGTGAAGAGTAGACCAAAAAAGCAGAAGGAATGTCACAAAAAGGAACCAGCAAAACCTAACAAGGCAAAAACCAGGGAAAGAAGGCCAGGAAAACCCAGGAAAAGTAAGAAAGATGCAGCAGAGGTAACAGACACTGTACCTGAACTTCTACCCCAGGACACAGTCAGTAAGGACTTACCAGAGATTTCTTTGTCCACATCACAGGCAGCTGAAAAGATCCCATCTCAAGAACTGGTGAAACCGAGGACGAGGTATTCACCCAAAAAGCAGAAAGTGGCAACTGAGTCTGCCAGTGTTACAGAAAATGTTCTGACAGGTGTTACAGAAGCTGGCAAAGATGACAAGAAGGAGAAGAATGGAAAAAGGAAGGAAAAACATGCAGAGGCACCAGAGGCATCAACAGCAGTTTCACAACCAAATAAGTCAACAATGGAACCTGAGATTGCAAAGTCTCAAGGTAATGTACCTGTTCCAAAAGACACTGGTTCAGCCGGTAGAAGGTCGAGAAGGAAAACTCCCAAGGAAGAAGGTAAGAAGGCAATAAAAGAAACCAAAAGGAAATCTATGGGAACTGTTGCGATAAAACCATCCCCTGCAAGGAAGCAAGAGGAAGTAAAGGAAACTGCTGTTGGGAAAGATGCCCCACCCTCGCTAGAGCCCGAACCATCCGTACTTAGTCTGCATAGAGGGGAGAACTCTACAGAGAACGAACTACCAAAGCTGACAGAGTCGCTTCCTGTTAAAAACAAGACAGGAGACTGCACAAAAAAGGATGTTCGGGCACTTAGAGGTAGACCAGGCAGGCCAAGAAAGAAACCGGTCCCCGATTTGGAGTCGCCGCCCATCTTGACACCTGAGGTCATCCTTGAGGGGAAAACAGAAGAGACTCCGTCACCCATCAGTGACTTGTCGACACAGACCACCAATGATGACTGCATGTTGAGTGACAGTGGCATCGGAACTGACAACAGCACCTCCGACAAGGAGAGAAACAAAAATGACAAGAAGAGGAAAAGTAAAGACGCTGAGGACTCCAAAACTCAGGCAGCTACGGAGGAGAACAAGAAAGAGAAACACAAACGGAAACACAAGCCAAAGGTTCTACAGGAGGACACAGGCATGGATAGGCTGAAAAAGCACAAGAAGAAAGTGAAGAAAAAGCACATACGTGGGAGAGAGCGGAATATTGTTGACCCTGTGTTCCTCACACAGATGGACGAGGTCATTGACCTCATACATGAACTGAGAATCTCCCCCACCCAACCACAATACGTCCCCGGAAACACGTCCCTGGGCTCTGTGTTACCCATCTGTCCACTTCCCTCCATTTTCAGGTTGGACTTCAACAACCGCGTCTGGAAGGCGAAACACAAACACGGGAAGACAAAGCGAATCAAGAGACTGAAACTTCCCAAGGGAAAGCCTGGTAGACCAAAGAAGAACAAGAGCAGTCCTGAGAAAAGCGAGAACAACGTCTCCCCAACAACAGCCCCTGAAGGGTCGCCTCCTGCAGCTGAATGTCTCGAACATGTTCCAAACACCAACACAGGTAAAACTACCAAAGGTAGACCCAGAAGAAAACCAAAGAACCTTTCAGTCACGGCAGCAGTGGATGAAACTGTTACTAGGGGGCAACAGCCAAGAAAAGGGCAACCATCCGCGGAGAAAGTCCATAGCCAGTCTGATGATATTACCACCACCGACTCGGTGCAGGATTCCATCGAGGAATGCATCAGAAAAATATCTGGCACAGAAGACAAGTCTGCGAGTAAAACTGAGCCTCAGACACCTGGTACTAGTTTGGAGAACACAGCTGTTGACACAATGGCTGCTGCGATAGAAGCTTGCATTGGCTCGGGAACAAAGGCAAAGCCAGGACGTAGGAAGAAGGTTGAAAAAGAGGTCACGGGCAATGACGGCGTACCGGCAGAAGATGCAAACAAGACAAAAGCAAGAGCAAAAGCATCCAGAGTTTCCAATAGGAAGTCTGCAGGAAGAGGTCACGTGAGCAATGAAAATGATGACGGTACACAGGTACAAACAGACAGTACCAACACTGTTCCTACCACGGAGCCCGTTCCGTCATTAAAGATGGACTCAAGTCAAACAGCGCCCCCTGTCCAAGAGACGAGAAAGGCAGGGAAAGGTAAGAGAACACGGCCGGCAGAGGAAACCATGCCCATAAAGAAGCGCCGGGGAAAGATGCTGTCCATCTCAGGTGTGGCCTCCAGTCTGGCACTTCCGGAAACGCCGTCCCAGTCTTCCAGTGTCGTAGCAGGCGTGCCAAACCCCCCCTCCTCTCCACAGGAGCAGACCATGGTGACACACGACGGGTTACAGAGGAGGCTGCCGCGGCAGTTCCTGCACAAACCTCTGGTCACCAAAAGCCACCAGGTCGACCAGGCCAGCAAGATTCTCAAAAGGGCCAAGATGCAGGCAGTGAAGGTTCCCAAACCTGTCAGGAGACCCGGTCGGCCTCGGAAACGACCTGTACCGGATTCTGAACCAGACGCCGCCGACGTTACAGTAGACCAGACCCAGGACCAGAGTAATTCCGATCAGGACAGGAGAACTTTGCCAACGCCGGGTGATGATATCGACACGTACTTGGAAACGATCGAGGCCGTCGTGGCAGAGGCTGCCAAGTTGGACAGTTCAAACACGAGCGGAAGAAGAGAGCCCAAAAGGAAGCGTGAAGCGAGTGTTTCTCCCAGGAAGAGAAAAAAGTCTGATGGTCCTCAAGAAGAGACTCCAGAACCCGCACCTCCACCTGTTCCACAGTAAGTCTGTCTACTTTATGTTAACATTTCAAGTTGTTAGAGTTATGTCAGGTCCAGATATGGTTGCTGCAGAGAAGAATTTTGCATGTCTCATAACAGGATACCAGGTAAGTTTGAATAAGGAGTAAAATTTGATACATTTTGACATCTCTTTTTAAATCCATTCATAAACTCCAGCATCTCCTCATCAGTATTATAAAATGGCGTACCATTTATTTGAGTGAAAGCATTTTTTACTACCAAAGATAAGCTATTTTCAGATTAACTTAAGTGATTAAATCAAATTCAGTTATAACAAAGCCAAACTTGGTAGCAAATTGCTATAATTTAGTTGTTACCAAAATGATGGTAGTTGTAGATTATACTATTGAAGTTTTCTTTTGCTTTCTATTTTTTAGGTATGCATACATTGTATGCTGTTATCCTTCTATAGCGTTCTTGTAATCAAACTCCTGACCTTGACTTTCTCTTTTTATTTTATGTTACATCGTAATTGATTAGTATATGTGCTAATCAATTAAGCCCAACTGCCACATAGGTATCATTATAGTGTAAATCATCATTTAAAGTTGCATGTTGTATGATAATTCAAGGTGGTAGGGTTATTTCAGACCATGAAAATCATACTTTTAAATTGATGTATGATCATGATGACTATAATGATGATTATCATTTTATTAACTCCCCTTAAACAAAGTGCAGAATATAAAATATCTTGATGCATTATGTACCATTCCTCAAGAGGTCTATTACTTTTGGTAGCCTTTGGTTGTTTCAAGAAAATTTCAATCAAATCAATCAAAGTAGATATATCTTGTTCTTCACAGCAATGTGAAGATGATAAAAACAGAAACACAGTACTAGGCTCATCTGAATTGTTTTTTCATGTACAGTATAGTGAATTTTTTTCACATTGGCAAAATTAGCGACTAGTTAAGATATGGTAGGAACTCCCTTACATGATACATCCCTCTTCCTTTTATATGAAAGAAAATTTGTCAAAGATGTATCATATCAGCAGAAATATTCTGTCCTATATATTATTTTGATGTGCACAGAAACAAGACATCCCTCATATGAAAGAAAATTTGTTAAAGAATCAATATATTATAACCACAGGAATATTCTGTCCTAAATAAATGTATGATGTGCACAGAAACAATGCATTTCTCCCCTTCTGCCTTTCATCCCTCATGTTAATATTATGAAAGAAAATTTGTCAAAGACTGTAAAATTATAGCCACAGGAATATTCTGTCCCATATACATGATGTGCACAGAAACAAAGCATTTCTCCCCTTCTGCCTTGCATCCCTCATATGAAAGAAAATCTGCCAAAATATGTTGATAACTGCAGAAATATTCCGTCCTATATATTATGATGTGCACAGAAACAAGGCACTTCTCCCCCTCAGCCCAGCTCCTCCCAGCAAACAGGGAAGTTAAGTTGATTAATGGCCCAGCCGTATATTACAACATGATAGCCCTGGACCTGGGGGGAATTTGGTGCACCTCTGGTGGGCCGACGGCGAAGAGTAATCTTCCCGGCTGCCAACAGGATCAGAATGTTAAGTGTGAACTCTCCCTGACCGTGGAGCGCAATATGCAGGAGCGCGGGCGGAGTGATGTGAGAGATACCCGTGATATGGGACCTCCTTGCTCCCAGTGATAAAGAAAAGCTAACATGCCTGAAGCCATGAAGGGTAATTGTATTTTTTGTTGGAAATGGACAGCTACATCAATTGGATGGCCCAGCCAATGGCTGGGGCTGGCACAGGGCTCAATATATACAGAAAAAAATATTCAAATTTCAAGTACAATTGTAAACATCTTGTAATTTTGCAGTCTAGAAAAAAAATTGGCATGATAAAGTGTGGACAATAATTTTGAAATGCAGCAGTACTAGTACTAGTATTAAGTAGACAGGTAATTACAAAACTATGCAGGAAGATATGAGATGTTTCATCTGTCTGAGAAGGCTATGATAGAGCAGGGACAGTGGCTTCAGTGTTTGCTTAAATTTTCTCTAATTACATGTAAAATTTCTGACAACTTGCAATGTTGAATGTATCAGAAAACAATTATTTTAGTCCTACATACACATGTATGTAGATGCCCACCTGAATGATTGAAAGTGAGATATCAATTTTTTAGATAAAAATTTTTTTTTGAGAATAAAGAATTGTTCTTCCGATATGCTTGGATGTTGGAATGGTTGACCTGGATGCATGATTTAACCTGCAATGTTTGTTATCCTGCAGGCCTTACATACACACTAGGTCTGGTAAAAGGTGAGGAATGGTTACGTCATCATCTACTGTACAATGTCATGCATGTACTCGTGATGGAAATACAATGTATTACAAGTTTTCACAGTAATGTAGTGACAAACTGGTCTCTCACAGTATGATTTTCTAAGGAAACAATTCTGTTTTCGCTTGGTAAAAATGAAATATAGATTATATACTAGAATTTGAATTAGTGGCAAAGTGTAACATAATTTACAGAAGGTAAAAACATTGCCAGGAACAAATGCAAAATATTTTTGAAATTCTATCTTCTCATGTTTATACAGAGTTTATCTCCTAAATAGTCTCCATTATACAGGTGAGATTCTAATTGACTCGTCAAACGCTGACTGTTGTTTTTGTTCACACCACAGGAATCATAAGTATGTGTTAATGAAGCTTATCGTGTCCTAACTTTTGGACTGGTAAAAAAAATACCCTAGAATAAGATTTTTAATGTCATGTTGTTGATATGAAATCAGGGTGTCAGAAAATGTGACCTGAAGTTTTAGAAACCATCGTATGGCTGAAAATGTTGGAGTCTTTGAAGTTAGATATGGATTCTTTATTGACACAACAAAAAAGTACAGGGACTTTTGTAATCATAGCCAAGGTGCTACAAAAAACCTTTAATAGGGCCCAATGCCGTGCCCTTAAGAATTTCCTCGCTGGACTCAGGTAAAAATGAGTACCTAGTTTTAGTTAGGGACAACCTTTCATTTCAACACAGATCCAGACAGTGAGCCAGCCCCATGTAGTCAGTCTCTTTAAAACCTTGATTTGTGAACTGACAGGAAACCATTGAAGATTTATCTTAATCCACACCAGACCTTATGACCTCTCCAATCTCTACTGCCTGCCAGTAGACTGCCCCTGTGAATTCCCAAGTACCAGCCAGTTTGGGTCACATTCATGTATATGGGCTAATGGGAAAATATGTACCTTTTATGGCGACGTATGTAATAAACCACGATATTTCTATTGATTTTATATATATAGTCTATATATATAATATAGTCTTTCAAGCACATTGGGCACTGAAAAAAGTGACTCCCAGTTTTGACTATTTTAAGTATTTTCAATGGTGTTTATACTAAATTATAGCATTTATAATTCTGCTGTCTGTAACACTAACAGGCCCTCTTGTGCCACCAACATCTGACTTAATGCTTGGCTGCCAACATTTACCTACATGTACATTTTGTAACTTATCAGTTACAAACAAGCTTTCATCTCATACAAAATGTATACCCAAAGGTTTTTTTAGGACGTAATAATTTTTCTACCAGACTATTTTACACTCGGAGTAACACAAGAAGGAGACTTTACTCCCAGCTGTCTCCAAGTTCTCCCCAGGATTTCTGTTTGGCACAGAGTTGGTGCCAGCTGCATTCAGGCTTTCCAAGAAACGCAACATGAGAAATGGCAGTAGTACAGTTTTCATCCCAAGCATGTGAGTGTTTGTGCTCTGTTATTGGCCCCAAGTCAGAAGTTACACACTCACGTTACCAAACGTTTCCTGTCCCACCTTTGTGGTGCCTCGGAATCAGGCTGTTGCCATGGCAACACAGAGTAGGTTAATTGGCCATCATGGTGCGTAATTGGCATGCCATGTAGCCCTGTGATGTGTGCTGGGATAATGGATAATGAAATCAAAGGTCAGAAGGATGACCAATTAAGAACCAGTTTGCAATTGCTCTTAAGACCAACCTGTCCCCAGAGACAGTGCTAAGCTAAATTGCAACTGTTCTGTGCCATTTTAAAGGCCAACACACTCGTGGGGTTTGGTCATTTGTTCAGAGAGGAAGGGGAATCTTGCCTTTAGAACAGATATGTCTCTATCAGGTACAAAGGAGAGTTATGGTTGATGTCGTTTTGAAACTGAAAAGGGAATTAATGGGGTGGACATTTACAAGACATGTACAAAGAATTGTGTCCCTGTTGTATGCATTGCCAACTGTTTTGCCATATGGATCAAATTTCTTGGATCTATAGGGTGGTGGTTCAAATCCTGTTTGGGCACTACTGTGAGGGTTAATACCAGTACATTTTGTATTCAGATAGGGACCTAAAGCCAGCAGCCCTGCTATGGGGGTCTCCAAACATTAGTGTTAGGCATCAAACCTCTTCAAGTTAAAGAACACACTTATTGAGAAAAGCAGGAGTGACCCAGTATGTCTGGTTGAAAACGCAGGCCACACCAAAGCCACATTGTGCTACTACTACTAGCTACTTGAAAAAGCATCACGCTTCACCTGAATTGAGGGGGACAGGTCTTTACCATACCTCAGATGCTTGCTTGAACTATCGAGCAGCCTGAATTACATGTATCTGTGAAGCAGACATGCCTGGGAAATGTAATCCTATGAAACGGTGAAATGGTGGGCGCATGTACGTATGGAAAGGTCAGTCTTTATGGGCCAGGCTAATGGCTGCAAAGGTCACCTTGCTATGGGTGAGAGGAGTCTGATTATACAACAGACACAGAAGCACAAACACCTGCTAGGCCTCTCTAAAAGACTAGCTCTGTCAACAAAATATGTTTGTGTTTTTCTTTCAAAATTTAAGGGGAAAGGTGACAATCTTCTGCAACAATCAGAATTGAAGTTTATTGCATAACAATTGTAACAGGTATAATGTTTGGTAAATTGCTCTTTAACGGTTCTAAATAACATTTTGGTATCAATGCAATTCTATGTAATAGCAGACTGGGAATAACGTGTTGTATGAAAATATGAGAAAAAAATACTCTAGAAGTATGAGTATATTACTTTCTAAGGGATCATTGTGTTAGACATAATATTCTAAAGTTACACGTAGGTGACAGATCCCACAGAAAGTGCACATCTACAGTGTCAGAGGTAGTTTAAGATGATTTATAAGGCATCACTGATTTCATCATGTGAGATGGAACGTTGTGAAAGGTCAGCGTGGCAGAGGTGCAGGGGTAGTATTGATTTTGGAGGTGTTGCTCTCAATCACTGGTCGTTACCGTGCAATGGAACCCAAAACTGTGGCTTTTCAATTTGCTCACAGATTATTCAAGTCAGCATCATGTGGATGAGAGAAGAAATGTTCTAGTCAATGCTCAAAATCCTGAAGGGGATAATATATATTGTACCACAGAACTTACAAACCTAGAGTTAAATATATCACATATCTTGCTGTTACATCATTCTGTAACAATTACATGCTTTGTATTTGATGGTAATTATCATGACATTGTATGCCAGGCTAATATACTTAAATGTGAAATGATTATAAGATTAATTTTGGTTCAGGCTATGCTAATTCTAATATGATGAAGTGGAAGATCACTATGAAAACACCTTAGGGCAGTGTCTGTTTCTTGGTACACACATTTTCAAGGAATATATCATTAATTGCAATCATATTTACGTTTTCCTCCCAGCCTTCTGCTTTCATGTTTACACCTTGGTAAAATTTTACTGGAAACCGTCCAGAAACCAAGGAAATGATTTTGCAGTGTCTTAGTATCTAAAGGTTGCTTGCCTTATGGTATGTAGAGTGCTGTTATGATTTTAGAGTGTCAGTTTTGAACTTGTGCCCCTGTGAATGGAAGGTGCAGCACTGAATATTTTAACATGGGTACTTGTGTAGTAATACATGTTTTAATGTTGCATACAGGGAAGCGCTGGTTCAGCCACAAACATCCGTCACTACAGCAGCACCCAGCAGGGCCACCGAGTCAGAGTCCAGCCCTGACAAGGAGAAGAAGGAACCTCCTGTAGCCGCCGCCGTTGTCGAAGGTGTGAAGAAGAAGAGACGAGACCCTCACGAGCCTCGCAAGAAGTACATCAAGGCTGGCCTCTTCTCCGACTACTTCAAGGTTGACCCGTATGTAACACACACAGTTGTCTCCTTTTGAAAAGAGTGGTGTGAAAGTAGATATAAGTTTGCATAATAGATGGTCAGTTACTAGCAAACTGTTTTGCCAAGCTGGCAGAGCTGTGGGTTGAAGAGCTGTGGGTTGAAGGAGAGTGTGCAGTAGTCTTTAGTGATAGATTAAGCCACGGTTAAAAGCATTGAGCATTCTTTAGACAAGCAGAATACCTACTAATAACTAATAGTCAATTGATTCAGAGGCTTGGTTATGATAATCCTAGAAGAATTGAAGTCTTGAAGAGCAAGAAAAATATGTTCAGACTCAAGCATACCTTAGTCTATGGGTTCTGTGTTGTTCTGTTCTTTCTTTTTTTATCTTTTTTCTTGGGGAATGTCTTGTGGCTATGGTGTAGCCAAATGCAGGTATTAGTCAGTACATTGGCTATGCACAGGTGTAAACAAGGCAGAAAAGTTGTATGTTTGGAGTATTCCATTCCAATTTCCAATAATAGCATCAGTTCAAGTACAAAGGTAACAACCTTCATGCATTGCCTTCCCCATCAGAAACAAGAGTTCTGATGCAAAAATCACTGAAATTACAAATTGTCTCATCACAAAATTCATCTTAGAGTTAGAGGAACAAAATTGAAATTATCTATGGGCCATAAGAAAGACATAAAGATAGATTTTAGATAGCTATTGTGGTCAAATTATCACTTGGAGAATTGGTTATTTCATTATACATACCTGAGGTCTCATGCAAAGAAATATACAATGGTTGAACCGTTCAATCCAAAAGATTTAGACGATAACACCCTAGAATTAAAAAAAGGTTACACAATCATCAATCAACTCATATGTTCTGCACAATTAAGCTATTAGTGCAGGTTCAGGTGTTTGTGAATTGATGGGATTACCTGTGTTAACCAATCACAGGTCACCTCTTAACCAATCAGTAACAAGAATTTTAGTGTAGTTTGTAGCACTGTCAGAGGCCTAGCCAAGAGCCTTTTAATGCCTGGCAAGTTGCAACTGTACCTGAGTTTTCTTCTGTTTTTTTCCAGCATTATGTGCAGAGTGGTCAGTTTAGGCAAGGGAAGGCTTGATGACAGTCCTGCTGGCACTGACTCAGGGTGATGATGCCAGAATGTTTCTCTTTACATTTCAAAAGGTTCTCATTGCTTGCTGCTAACAGAGAAAGGACATTTGAAAAATTTCTAACTTACTTCTAAATTTGTATTTGCAAATTTGTAGACTGCGATGTGTTCTTCTGATATGTAAAAAAAGGCACATCCAGAATGGAAGTAACTTACTGTGGCTTAAAACTGTCCCCAACAATTGTATACATTGGGAACAATTCTTGTAGTTATGTTTCCAGTCCTTCTCTCAAAATGCACAGTACTCTAAGCAGAGGTCACTGCTATGGACTCTGCCATGATGTCAGCTTGTACTCAAGTTGGTGAGGGGAGTACAACTTCAAACATTTTAGAGACTAACAAACTATTCTCTGTAATATAATAAGAATATTACAATTATGATTGTCTAGCTCATTGCTGTTCAATACCTGTCAAGCACAAAAACAAAGTACCATTACTCATTGAAACAAAAGTAGCAGCAAAACATAACAACCTTTTGCAATGTTCCATGTAGTTGCAGTCCCAGCTTGAAAAGCTTGCGCAATGCATGTTTGTGCTTTTTTCTTTCATCACAATAAAGCATCAGATGTGCAAAGCAACCATCCCGTTTTCTTGGTGCCATACATTCCATGTGGTTGTGCGATGTTGATAGTGTGTTTGGGGGAACGGTAGGTTAAAGCTTGTTCCATGTTTCTGCAGGCCCAAACGACAGAAGAACGGGATGACCAAGAAGGAGAAACTGGAGTACGAGCCCAGCAAGTTTGAGTACGGCCTTCTGCCTGCACCTATCCATGTTGGTAAGTTAGAACATTAATGTTTACCAGTGGTGATCAGTTCAAAACCTGGCAGTTCTGGACCAATTCTTGCCTTGTCATATAGTCATAATATACTTCTGAATCTGAATAGCTGTAAAAGCAAATGTTCAAAAATTACGATGATAGAGCAGTGTGTGCTTCTCAAAACTTTGCCTCTTGCATGCAAAACCTTTTATTTCATTGTGGAATCTTGTTGTGCAATGTGGATCACACTTAAATGAAGGTTTGTTCCTACACGTGCATTAGGTGATCTGTGTTCGTTAATATGACTTTATACCCTTTCTTCATTGGTTTAGCCTGTGGAGTCATTAATATGTCATTCATTATCCGCTTTCCCTAGTGTAGTCAGGCTGTATAGTGAACTGCATGTTGAGGTGCCATACAAACCTCTGAGGCAGGCTCTGATTATTTCCCAGTGATAAGTGATGATTCTGTTCCAATCTAAGAGGTGACGGCCTCTCTCTCAATATGTGAAGTTGGCTCACGATCCCAGTGTTAATGAGTCCTGATGGAGGCTGCTGATTGAGCACCATGGAGACTTCTCTCAGCTACTAGTTGTCTTCCTAGAGAGTCTTAGGCACTGTGCACATGCACACAGTAATTTTGGTAAAATCCCAAATTTACAAAATTTACAGAATTTACAAAATATATTAAGCTTTGTAAATCTTTTCTACTGTAGTAAGTTTACCCTCAGGAAGTAGTAGAATCCCCCATTTTGACATCAAAGACTAAACACGATCCCCCCCTGCTCAATCATTCTGCTAGCCTTCCCTCAGAATCTATTTTTTCTGGGAAAGCCCCTGCAACTACAGACCTTTTGTTTCTGTACCAAACACGCCCTGCAGGATGTGAACCTGCAGCGGAGGGGAGATGAAGAGTTATCGGCTCAGCCGTGCTGGCAGGACATTAGTCATCCCTTCTCTCCAGCCCTGTATCTGGGCAGTTATCTACTCCGCTAAAACTCCTCTGATTCATGTTCTCTGTGTCGGGGATCTATCACGGAAGTTTACCCTTGTGTAGGCTGTGAAGACATACAACAAGGCCAGAGACAATACTGTTAATCACTTTATATTTGCGGTAGAAAAATTTCGCGGTCCGAGCAAAATGAACAAGTTCGCAGAACTTAATGTTCGCGGTGGCGGCAGGTGCAGAAGAAAGAAAGTCGGCAAATTATTTGCTCACAGTAATGATAAGTTTGCAACTGTGAAAACTGTGAAAACTCAAATATAAAGTACCATGAAAAATCGTGATTTACAGTAGTCGAAAGTATTGTGGTAACAAATAGTTTAAAAAAACAGCATTTTGGCTATATCATTTACATTTTTAGATAACAAACCTTGGTAGCCATGGAATAATTGAATGTCAGTTGATAACGTTAGCTGTATTAGGGAAATCCCTTGCTCACAGGGAGTTGCCATGGGATGTCTGAAGGGCTGTTTAGTTAGAGGGCAGCTTGGAGTGCGATGTAATCAGGCTAGGAGCTCAGGTGCTTCGAGTGAGACTGATGCTCTTAACCCTCTCCACTGAGGAGAGAAAAATCAAAAATCTCCTCACACACTCATGTATCATAACTCCTACTTCAAACCATTTTGTCGGACTTATCTGCTCTGCAGTTCTTTGAAGTATCAGGCAAGAATGCTTAAATGGATTTCTTGGTGTACTAGATTTTCAGATATGGGTGAAGACGTTTTTCTCTGCCAACCTGAGTTCTCAGTTTTTAGGTTGCCATGAGAAGTGGAGCTTTCCCTGGAATGAATAACTAGATCTTTGGTAATCACTTATTAAAATCATATTCAAGAATCTGATAGTTATGAAGAGATCATAGACAGGAAATAATAACTTAGATATCAGAATGGTAGTCACTGTGTTGTGACACAGGGATAGTGGCCTTTCTAATGTTGTGTGGTACAATGTATGTGCTAACACCTACTGTACCTTTGCTCCAGGAAAGTACCTGAGACAGAAGAGGATTGACTTCCAGATGCCGTATGACATCTGGTGGCAGTACAAGCACAACAAGGTGAACTGACAGGAACTGTTTACTACGAATGTTCGTTAACATACACTAGTACATGTAGTCTTTGTACCTGGGCCATGTTTAGCATGTTGATAGAATTAAGTTTATAACTGACATGTTCAAACATCCTACAACCTCAAAATTGAATTGGTGTGACCCTCTGTGCAACTATTGCACAAATATGGTGCTACCATATGACTAAGCTAAGCTGGAAATGGAATGATTCCGTTTAGGAAACCTAGCACTGCAGTATTGGCCATTCCTTTTTAACAAAAAAGATCGTTCTGAAATGAGGTGAGGGACAAGTGGTCCCAAAAGAACTCCTTGAGGAACACTAAAAGACTAGTCCTGAAATGTTTGTTCCATTGTGAAAAATTTCTACCCTCCTGGAGTAACTTTTGTAACAAAAAAAATTATTGTCTGATGACTTGGTGATTCGATAATGACTCGAACATCATAAATGTTGTATTTACAGACAAATTACACATCTTTCCACTTAGTGTTAGTCTAGTGAGATCTTTCCTGTGCAAGTTGTTACAAAAATATATCCTACTATAATGACTTTGTTAGCAGCTGTTGAGTGTGCGTTATTTTGACATAAGTGGTTCAGCAGTAATAACTGTGCTGTTTACATCCTACCAGCTCATCCCCAAGATAGATGAGAGAACGAAGTACAAGAAAATCCGATCAAGTAAGTGCTGCTGATTTTCCTCCTTTTGATGCGTAAGTGTGCTGGAATTGCTTGTACAGCGGCCCTTCTTGTGAGGGCTTTCTGTTACCCTGATAGTACTTACCCTCTGTTGGAAATGTCAACATGAATGCCACTTGTTTTGGCTCTTAAGGGCAGCCATTGTAAGCTATAAGAGGCTCACATCTTGTGTATATTGAGCACTCCACACTTTTAAGTAAGAGCAGTACCAGCCCTGGATAGCTGAATAAAGTATCATGTATCGAGCCTTCACAGTTGCTGAACTTTGTTGCTGGTTTTTAGCATTCCACGTTGAAACATTATCTCCCAGAGTAACTGCAATATAGCCTTTTTGTCCACAGTGGGGTTTCTTGCCATTGTAGGGTTGGCGTAACCCCAAGGGTGAAGGATTATAAAGTTCATGAGAAAGGTTATACAGGCACACATACCAGGGACTTCATGGTGCAAAAAAGGATTTCTGTCCCTGTGCTTACAGGGCTGGAAATACCACCTGCATATGCAGGTTAGTGCAGGTAAAAATGGAACTGTGCAGGTATTTCTGATGTCTATTTGAACTTGACCTGCACTGGTTTATGCATACATACTGGATTTTTATTTGCTGCATTGACTTACCTATTAAGTATAATAGGAATGAAGGCAATGGGTTCTGAACAATTTTTAGTATGATCTGTACTTCCTAAATTCTGAGTGGTTCAGTTAAAATTGTCTGGTGCAGGTAATTAACAATTATGTCTGCACTAGTCCAGGTATGCAAAAAAGAAGATTTTATCCCTAGGGTACATGTATGATAATTATAGCTCTAACAAAGTGATGATTTTTTATATTTTAATAGTATCCTATGTCAAATCTAATAATTAGTTCTTCATGTAATAAGTCAACTTTATGGGCAACATTTACTAGTGTACTGATGCCTCCCATATTTCACTCCAAATTGAATATAACAAAAGCTGCAAGATAATGCTGTACATTCAGACATACCCATACATTTGTCTGCAGTACTACCGCATGTTAAATAGCTGCACTACTAAATGATTTTTTACAGAGCTTCAACCAAATCCCCTCTCAACTGTGTGCGGTTGCACAGCCACATGCAATTAGAGTCAGGCTCAGCGTGGGTGTGGGTGTATTACACAGTTGTGGCACGTCCCCTGTAAGCTGCTTGAGAGGATAGCCATTTTGAGTCATCCCCTTCCTACTCTAGCTTCAGCATGTATTCCAGCACGATTAAGGTGCAGTTACTTGTAAATGGTACTGGAGTCATTACGGTTTAGCTGCCGTGTGTGTCTAGGATCTTTTAGGGAAGCAGGTGCAAAAACCTGTGCTAACATGATGTGTACTTCCTAGGAAATATTAATAAAATTATATTATTATTATTTTGTATGTTTTTCCATGGTTCCATTTTGTGCTGAAAAGATGACCCAGAGGATACAGGTGCTTATGTTTTTTTCTTAATTGTCTGGCCTTATGAAAGTTCCAAGAACCAATGAACATATTTTTGAGGCCCAGTACATGCACCCTTGTGACAGATATACATGTAGGCGTATGTGTGTGACTCAGATTCAGTAGAAGGCCCGAGGCAGTTATCAGTCGGTTTATCTTCAAAGTGTCGGGTGTTGGTGACTCAGTCAGCACTGGGCCAGGGATCAATATAGCTCCGCACATATTACATATGTGCATGTACATTTTTAGTATTTTATTGACTCGCAGTCGAGGCAACTGGAAGCTTGTAAAATTAACATATTTTGAGGTGCAGCAAGGACATATGTGACTAGGAAGCAAATAAGATGAGAATAGAGCCACAGGCAATATATATGTCTGTCCCAACTGTTAAGAGGTGATATTAATGCAAATAGGGTTTGCAGTACTGTTACAAGGTTCAACAACTGCATTTGGTAACATAGCATATAGCACATGGTAACTAGCATATAGGTCATGTCAAGTTTGTATTTGAAACATAGGCAGTATCATTGTATCAGTGAGTATAACATAAGCTTGATTGGTTGGTGTTTTCGCAATGCCAGGATTTTTGTCTTAATGTAGATAGTATTAAAGCTGTATTGGGGTAAGACAAATCACGAAAAATGACACATATGAAACATAAAATTTTTTATATCAGTATCTATCCTTTTGAGTTATCATGTGAGCCTGTTTATTGAGAATGGCCCTAGGAAAAATCATCTATATGTTTTAGTTGGAGGAAATGTGTTGAGACCTGAACAATAAAAATGTAAATCTGGGATTTGAAGCGTTCCCTCCTGTCACTTCACATACAAGACTTCATCTTTCTTGACGCGCCACACAGCAGTGTGCCAGTTTTAACAGCGTCATTGTCACATTAAGTGGCTTTATACAGAGTTCTCTGTTCCAGTTTATGTTTCCAACATTAAGAATAATGTAAAATTTGAACTCGCATTTATCCCAGATATTGTTCCCTTGTGGCTCTTAAGCCGTCGGAGTTCCAGGAATTTGTTTAAATCTTAAGTGTTCTAGAAATCCTGGAAATGTAATTGGAGGATAAAATTGGGACTGCTGTTTCATCTAAAAAATGATGTATAACACTCTTACAAGGCTCAACTGCCTAAACTTTAGCATGAATCTTTTTTACAATCATTTTTCTATGAACAGAGAGAAAACTTGATCATCAGCTCTGAAAGCTGTGATTTTCGAGCACAAAGTTTTGCCCCAAATTGTTAAGATACTTGGCCTTTTTTTCTATTTGTATGGTTGTCATCTAATCAGTTGTCGCAAAATGTATCATCACATTTTGGACATAAGTAAACTTTGAGTACTTGTAGATACATGCCAGAAAATTTGTTGTCTGGGTCAGGTTCTTCATTATTCATCGTTAATTATCTTTCTTCTCACAGACATCTTTGTGGACGTGAAGCCGCTGTCTGGTTGTGAACCAGTCATCTGTTCGTGTGTCCGGCCGGCCGAGCCAGCTGACAAGGCCTGTCAGGAAGACTGTCTCAACAGGTCAGAAGGAACCACATGCAACTACTGTAGA